GGGGCGGGCATTTCCTGTGTCCCAGTGAATGGTGTAGAAGTCTACACAGTGGGGTTTCACTTGTGCTGCGCGAGTTACGCATAGATACGACTCTCACAGGCGTGTCTGACATTTTCCAAATTTTTTTTTTCCAATTTACCAAAATAGAAAACTCTTTATATGTAGGTATTTTTAATTATTGATGCTTATAATATACCGTTATTTTGGAGTGATGTGGTTAAAGTCTACCACCTGCCCCAAGTGAGGTTTATAATACTGTATATGAAATATGTAAATTAATTAATTGGCTAACAACTATCGGTCTTTTCTTGTATGCTTTAAAAGTCACAGTTGAGAACGGAGTCCAGTTTATAAAACTTCTTTATTTGGAGATACATGGAAGTCGAGATGTGAGTCGGGTTCTATGGTAAGGCAAAGGTTTTACCTGCTAATGGTAAATACATGTAGATTATCAGTAAGGGGATATCGTTCCTACCCAATACAGCTATGACAGAGTACTTTAACACTGAAAATAGACATAGTTATATATATATATATATATATTAGTGTGTGTTTGTAAGTTACCCTCTACCAGGGCGGTATTTTTTACTATGAGGACATTTTCTCTGATGCAACCGCGTAACCACGCCCTTCGAGTTGGCCCAGGGCACAAGTCATAACTGCTGTTGTCTAATCCTTTGTAAACTAGGGATTTTGTTCGTTATCGATCCCCACTGTCTCATAGACCCCATTCAGATGAGGGAACTAACTAGTTCGAGGGTCAAATATGACCGACCCACTTGAATACCTTCCCACGGGATATCTATTCAGTGTCTATTAGCAAATTAGATGCCAATTTTTGTAGTTGGTCGCCATATTTGACCCTCGGACCAGTTACCCCTATCCTGAATGGGACCCTAGGGAAGGCCCTGCCTATGATCTCTATTGACGACACATCTGGTAGGGTATGAGATCGTTCCAGGCTGTAGATTTTACGCCAATATTGCTTTGCACAATGTTGCTGGATGATTATACAGACAGTTCATTGAGTGGTTCTGACATGAACAGCACTGTCCTTTTGTTTCCGCGCAAAACGCCACATTCACAAGAGTTACCAAGTTTCCCAATGTACATGTATTGACACCATTCAGCTGTCCTGAACAATCTTGTCTTGCAGCAGCAAATGCCATTGACTGCATCATTCGTGTACAAGTGGCCTGCTCATGTAAGACCAAAAATGAAGTGGAATGGGGAATTTTTTTTATTTTTTTTTTTTATTTTATTTTTTTTTTATTCACGCGTGAAGTATACAGTAGTTGGCAAGAAAAATAATTTTGTGAAAAAAAAAATTAAATGATGCAAGCTTGAGAGCGTTTCAATATGTCGTTTCCATGTACCTTTTGCAAACCCGAGGTCCCAGCGGACGATTTTTGTTTGCTGTTTTTTATCTTAATGATTGCAATACCAAAATTACTCCTGGCGTCTTAAGGCAATTCCACAGGTCGGGGGAACAAACCCAGAGCAGTTTTGCAAGAGGTTTCTGGCAGTCCCGATATTCAAAACGGGGGGGAAATGTCATTACATTAATATTCAAATATTGGCATGTTCTTTGAAGACAAAAATGTTGAAAGCTATCTGTTGCAGACTAGGACTTAATTCCTGACGATGTGGTCAGTTCTCTATAGCAGAGTGACCCATTTGACCGCCGTCTAAAAAGAATCGCGAAAAAAGCGCACTTATCCCGTGTCGTAGCTCACTTCATCCTTAGTATTCACATGGCCTTGAAAAATGGTGTTGAGATTTAAGTCCACCTCTAAATACGGCAAAACTCTCAGCATATTCAGAACGTCATTATGACATCACCATGCCGTTTAAAAAACTTTATGGTATCGTTATAATAACCTTTTGTGTCCGTTGGCCATTTACCACTTTTTTCCTTCGATACGCCTTACATTGGAGCAGATACACCTGCCAGACATATTTCACGTACCTAAAAAATGTTAAAGCAATATGCAGTGAGGTAAAAAAAAAATCACAAAGTACATCAATCCCTATCAGAAAAAACGGGACTTACGGGTACAAGTGCTCGGTTGATATGAGACCAAGTTATAAAACGGGATTTTGAAAATGCCAGGATTTAAACCTAATCTTCAATACTCACGTTAACGTTAGGAGGAGCGCCAAGTGCATAGATTAAAGCATCTGCCACGTCTTCCGCCCTCAGACTCTGTCAAAAACACAAGGTGTTCAGACACAGAGTTAAACCGGACCAGGTTAGGTTGAGATGACGTCACAAAATTCCAATGGTCGGAAGAAGTCGGAAGAAGTTTTTAAAGAGTGATAGGGTAAGCTTAACCAAGGATCTATCTGAAAACATACCATAGGTTTAAAACTTTTCCATTAGATTTTGACGCCATCTTCCTTTAAACCTGGTTGGACTTATTCCTGTGTGTTTTTGTTAATCCGCTTTTACGTCTTTTTACACTACCGCCAATCAAATGCGCAAATGGAACTTTATAACATTCTAAGCTAAGAATTAATATTTTTTGCCACGAAAGTCAGCCGGCAAGTTGGATGTACAAAAAGCTTTTTAAAAAATTATGGTGGCTCAGAGTAAGTCAAAGTTTATTATTCATTAATATTATCTTTTTATGGACGGTATGGTGAAACAAACCTTTAAAAAAGACAATATGTAGCACAATATTCGATTACCCTTGAATACGTGGCCCATGAAATAGACCTAAGAAGTTCACATCGCAACTACGTGACTCTATCTGTGATGGGGATCGAAATGACAACCCGTCTCTGATCTTATCGTCCGGTGATGTTAGGGAGATTATTTCCGGTTTAAATTAGTTATAGGCTGCATTCAGAACAGCGGATAGACATTGAATAGGTTCCCCGTGGGGAAGTGTTCATGTGGGTCGGCCATATTTGACCCGTGGACTAGTTAGTCCCCTGTTCTGAATGCGGCCATATTATGTGCCCGGAAACAGATCGACGTACGTACCACTGTAGCAGTAAAGGGCGGTAAGCCATGATCCTTTAAACCTCTAGCCAACGGAGTGTCCGTCAAACTGGGGCTGATGATCTAAAAAGTGGAGTGACCAAGATGTATTCCATTTCTTAGGCAGTACACATACAGTAGGCCTACATCTTAATCTTAATCAGGAACATTGTCGACTGCGGATCTAGAGTATTACACTCTAAGAAATCGCGTCGATGCTTTTAAAGAATACAATGCGCATTTGGTCTATATGTATTAATAATAATAATAATATTTTGGGGGGAATTAATTTTTTTCATAAAGTTTAAATATACTATATTTAATAATAATTAAATATGAAGCATTTTAAGTCTTTTAAAAATGAATTAAACCCATAAAACCATTCGGATTTCCTTGGAGTCCCAGTCGGTGTAATTTTGAAAACAAAATGCCCCTGGCAAAATGTCTCTGGCTTTTCTCTTTAACATTTATTTGTTGCAGAGAAAAATATATTGAGAGGTGATAATACAAAATTATAAATGATAAATTCTCTGTCTCTCACCGTGGTGCGGATCCTGGTGTTGGCATTTCGCAGTTCATGGCGGAGACCTTCCGTCAGAGCCTGCAGAGCAAACTTGGAGCCGGCGTAGAAGTGAGACAGCGTCCCTTCACGTACCTGACGGCAACTTACGCTGGAAAACGAGGGGGATCATACATGTTTTTGGACAACTCAGACCGGAGACCGACCAAGAGACGTCAGAAAGCGATCAAATCGTTTAACACGTTTCCATTGGCAGTAAATACTGATAGATACAGGCGCTATATAATCTGGTTCTCTTCCAGCGATAACTTACGCACAAATACATTCACCCACACACGCACACACACACACACACACACACACACAGAGAGAGAGAGAGAGAGAAGGGATAGTGGCTCACCTGCCGATGTTAATTATATGGCCATCATCCACATTACGCTCTCTCATAGACTTTATAGCCAGCTGTGTGACGATTGTCACAGCGAACACATTCAACTAAAAATATACCATCGCAATGCTTAAAGAGAAAAACTCCAATTATAACATCTTTACACGACAATAGGCAAAGACTATAATAAGCTCAATACATATCCATCTGCAAGGTGCAGAGAAAGATTTTTTAAAAATATGTTTCATTTTTTATATAGTTTAGGTTTATGCCCTTCTCTTGGTCTATCAGAAATCTCTTTCTTTGCCTTCATTTAACTACCAGATGAGTTTCACGAGTGGTAGGCCAAAAGCATTTTCTCAGCCTATGTTCCTAATCACATTTTAAAAGTAATTCTAAAAGACTAAATGGTTTATGGTACTGTAAAGTCATCTTCTCAAAGCTTAAATCACACCGAAGACCTCGTAAGCACTTTGGACTAAAACAGCTTGCTTACATCTAGAACGGTTTTAAAATCCTCTCTTTCCCCCGTAAGTAGAGGCGAGGCCAGATTGACGCCGGCGTTGTTTACACACACGTCCACCCCTCCGACCTCCTCTTTGATGGCCCGGAACATGGAGTCAATCTCGTCCGTTATCGTGAGATCGCATTTGATGGGGATGAACTTTCCCTTTTCCTCTTCTAATTCCTTTGCTAATTTCTAGAGTAGTGTAACATTTAATATTACTATATAATAATGACAATCCTAATAATAATAACAAGTTTATTTAAAATAGTTGCAACCGTAAGACTGAAGATGCACAGATATATAAATTCCAATAAAAAATTAAAATAAATGAATAACATTAAGTTCAAAATAAAGACATTCCTATAAAAGAAAAAGAGATTTAAGTGTTACGGAATCCTTCTGTTTTAAATTTTGGCACATGTAGAGATTAATGTTCAGTGAAAAGTTTTCGTTTTTTATCTTAATTGTGTGATATTTCATTACATATAATCAAACACACAAGTAACGCCTGTAACGATTCACTGGTCAAGATAAAAATTACTAACACTACATGCGGACATTTTGTAATTGAAAGTTACCTGAAGAGCGTCCAAATGTCTGGCGCATCCAACGACCACCATACCGTTCTTCACCAGTGCTCGGCAGATGGCAGCACCTATACCGAGGGAGGCTCCTGTTACTAAGGCAACGCGTCCTGTCCAACGTTCCATTACCCTCTGATTGTATACAGTCGTTCAGTGCTAAAGTAGGAAAAGAAACGATCGAAGTTAAAATGACATTACGGGGAAAACAAAATAAGAAATCCAGTCGGGTAGACAGCTTCTGAGAGATCAAGAGGCAATGGCAAACCCCAGGTGGAGGGAGAGTGTTGTATACGCTCCTAATATATAGGCCTACCGTAGAGTTAATACATATATTCTATACATACAGTGTATATACTACATACCAGTGACCTACCGGTAAGGCTACATGTATCTTCTTTCAACGGTAGGCCCCTACTAATAGGCCAACAACATGCACATATGCTAGTAGGGCCTACTTACTGTTTGTGCGAAATCAAAGTAATTGCAATAACACTGTGCACACAGTCTATTTAAACTCACACCCTGAGGTAATCGGAGACATGCCGCTGCTTGCAAAAGTTAGTGTTCACTCACGGAAGACTTTTAAATTACTAGGTCATGCAATATAGTAAACAAGATAATATGTTAGTCACAAAACATGCTGCTCCCCGAGGGGTAGGCCTACATGTACTGTAGCACATGAGGGACCATTCCCAGACCCTATCGTACTAACTGTGGATCGATCTATCTCCGAGGTGATTCTCACTAAATTGCAACCAGCTTAAGCGGCTTAGATGTCTGTCACACCTACTTAAGCTGCTAGGGGGTAAATAATTATCGTTTAGCAGCTTCAGTAGTCGTGACAGACATCTAAGCCGCTTAAACTGAAAGCGATTTAGCAAGAAACCTCTCCGAGATAGATCGATCCTGTTAGATCGATCTAGGTTTGAGAACCCAGTCTTAGAGCCAAGTACAGAGAGTATAGAACGTATAAGGCCTACATGCACTAGCCCAACCTTGTATATACACGTATACCGCGTCACTTTGACGTCGAACTCAACGTTGATCAATTGCAACTTTCTCCTGTCAGCCGAAGATATTAACCTACAAATTTTAAGAAAATTTCCTATAGGACGCCCTATAGGACTCTATGGGACTCTATACGAACTCTATCAGACATCCTATACAGGACGCCCTAGAGGAAACTTGCCCTTATAGGACCCCACGTTCCATAAGGCCCAATAGGAAATTCCCGTAAATATACGTGAAGGTGCACGTAAACATTTACACGTATGTTTTAAGGGCGCATTCAGAACAGCGGACTAAATCGTCCTCAGATCAAATATGGCCGACCCACTTGAATGCTTGTTGCTTAATTCTCGCGAAGAATGTATTCACTGTCTATTGGAGGGTTACATGGCAAGCTTTTAAGTGGGTCGCCATATTTGATCCACGAACTGGTAAGTCCGCCGTTCTGCATGCGCCCTTAGAGATCCATGTGGCCTTGAGTTCCAAGGTCCCAGGAAACTCACCTTATCAACAATCAACCGGCATTCCCGTTCAGATACCTCACCTTTAAATACATGGAATAGAAAGGTGAGCTTTGGGGTCTCTAGATCTGAAACTCGCGGAGCTCAGAGAATGGTGACCGTGCATGTCCCGTGATCTGGATAAGCAGATAAGACAGTGACGGGCGGATCCAGGATTATTTGAAGGAGGGGGCTTGGATGCGACGCCGACCCTCCGTCTAGCTCCCCCCTTTGGAGTGGGGTTCGTGGCCCGCTTAAGTGCCTTGAAAGATTTTGGTATTTTAGAGGCGCCATTCGGTACGGCTTAGAACTATGATTCAGCTAGTCAAAATTTTAATTTGAAGAGGGGACCATTAGTGTGATTATTTTTTCAGAAATCAAAGGGGGGAACGGATCCCCCTGTCACTCCCCCTAAATCCGCCACTGAGTGATAAGACTTCGCTAAAATAGCCGATGTACACTATTACTCTAGCCAATACATATTTGCAGCCAAATTCCTCGTAGACGAACATATACTCTTAAAACAATATATTTGCTTTAAAATTATTATACCTGACCTCAATCTCCTAGCCTAAAGCGAGTCAATTTTGACTTCCAAGTTCAGCAGCTTCCGTTACGCTAGTTCATGACTGCAGTCTTTCGAGCCTTATTAGCTGATACAAGGTCGACACGTAAAAGATAAAAAGATAACACCCCGCCACAACGACATTTTCAGGTCAGTGTATATGTACTAGTGCTCCGTATTTCTGGCCGCAGCCTCCTCCGACCCGGCGTCATCACGCTCGACTGTAAACTTAATTGGTTAATTAACTGGGTAAATTAACCTAAAAACCATATAAGACGACTTGAGATTACCCTGCTAGTCTACTATTACGGAAAAAATATTTTCGCGCACATGTTAATGAAACTACGTTGGCCTATTGACCGCCATCTTTCAAATTTTACTCTCCATGATTTATTTTTAAAATGTGTAATATTCAGGTATTATCATTTGTCAGTAACTGTACAATAATAACAGAAGAAATGAAAAATTCAGAACAGTCATTGTGCTTCCTGTGTGCCCACATCATCCAAGCTATATATAATACTTAATTGAAACCATCACAACAAGCGCAATGCGCGCAATCAAAATTAAACTCCATATTGCAGACCTTCAGTGAGTGTAAGGAAGTTTTTTTTATTATTTTTTCCCAAACAAATTTTATTTTCATTAACATGAGTGGGAGTATTTTATTTTTCAAGATAATGCCTTTTTGTCACTGTTTTTGATCCTTTAAGCCGATAGTGAGGACTTTGCCTTTATCACACTTGGACCATAAATGTGAACATAGTGGCTCGAGTCTTGTTCACTAAAATGTTTTATTTGTCTTGAATAGATAATGACAAACGCCGATCCCGACAGTTTAACAGTAATTCCTTTTCTGACTTTTCATGCATTACGTGTCATAATCTCAGTTTTTTAATGGCCATTTGTAGGTAAAAGTGGTTGGAGATTCAAATCACTAAAAATGCCTATTATCGGAAAGTAGGCCTATACGTTTAATAAATTTTACCAGACTGCTGCCATACAAACAAATTATTTCCAGAAGTTTTCAGAACACCGTTCTGTGTCTCAAGAACTGGTGTACATTGAATTTTTTTTTTTTTTTTTTACGCTGCATGATCTGTTTTAATTACATTCGAAGCACGAGCCATCCCGACACTAGCGGCACCTGGTGTTCACATCCGCGGTCACGAAAATCCCGCATGAAACGAAGGCATTGCGAAATCAGCTGCTTTAATGAGATATTTCTTCATAACCTGGCTTCTATAAAACTCTTTCCCAATATACCTCTGAAATCATCCGAATATCTAAGAAATTTCTGAGACACCGTTAGATCACCTGGCGTCGTTTAAAGGAAGAGTTTGAAGGCGTAATCGGCGCGATCGAAATGTCAACAGGTAAGAGACGGTGCCGTGAGGGGAACTTTCTAGATAATGTTGTTCAACACATGTAGGCTATAGGTAACAATATGAAAGCGGCGGGAGAAGGTATGCATATGGTAATGTGATTTGAATTAAACACACCAGGCTAGAAGAGAGAACCTTTCCTAGACGATTTATATGATTGCGTTCTATGATTTCATCGTAACACTACTTGTACGACGTCTTAATTTGCGTCAATATATTGTTGGAGATTTCATCATCGTCAGTTCAATATTACACCACACTGGGAGACGTTGCCAGGGCTGTAAATGATCCTGATAGACATTTGTTATATAGAGTTCTTGGAGATTAAAGGAATAATTCCTGATTATCATTCCTGGGATTTGAACTTATATTCTGTGATGGAACCAGGATGTTAAAAACCGGGGTGGGGTTAGGGTTAGGGTTAGGGTTAGGGTTAGGGTTAGGGTTAGGGGGAGGGTTAGGGTTAGGGTTAGGGTTANAGGAGGAGGGGTAAAAATGCGTGTTGAGATTCCAGCCTCTTTTTGTAAAGGATTATAATTTTAAAAAACGTCACTTGTGGGTTCTGTCTTTTTGTATTTCTAATGCAAAGAACTGGCAGTGGAAGTCTATGGTGGTTAATTTACTCAGGAAAGGGTCCCGTTGGGTATTTGCGTTCCCTGAGGAAACCACTTTTTATTTCCCGAGACGCGTGAAACGCTCATATTATTTAGCGTGATCCGTGAAGCACATTTTCAATGAGATATGAATAGAGATTTATTTACTGTGATTTGTGAACTGATGGTTTTACTTCCCGTGAACTGTGATCACTGCTACACCCCCACCCCCCACCCCGCCAAATAGGACCGCAGGGCAGAAATCCTCGGTGCGCCGAGTCGTATAATTGTGCAATACGCAGCATATAAGACATCACTTGTGTTGAGCAATATAACCGCAATTAGCATTAGCTGTACTGTGTGGTAACCGCCAGTGAACAGACAGTGAATTTGAATATTAAACAGTTCGCATTTGAAGAGCGCCTGGGTCATGCGTGCATTGACTTACAGCCTTGTACTATAATTAAACTCAAATGAAAACTCGTGGACTGAAACATTATGGCAATGTTGTCAGCATTGTAGCACCCTGCATAACACATAACAGATCTCTATGGCATAGAACTACTACTATTACTACGAGAAACGAAGCATTGAATACCTCTGGTATCAGGGTGCATTATAGTTATTTAAATTAATGAATGAATCGGGTTTTTTTAATTTTGAATCGGATCAACAATAAAACGCGTCTGAATCTGAAAAATCAGAAGTTCATTAATAATATTAATAATAATGATAATTAATATTAATTAGTAAGATTATAAAAATAGAGAATTAACCTTTAGAACAAACGCTGCTCTTAAAATTGATGTATCACAAGAGTATTGTCGGGTGGGAAGTGGGCATGGGGGTCGCGAGTAAAATGGCAATATTCGCTATCTCTTGTTGTACAATGTATAAGTGTCAGAACATAGTGTGATGTATTGTCGTGTATTTGCCTGTCACGATCCATCCGACTTTGAACACTGAAGATCGATTATATACTATCGATCAATGAGAAAATACAAATTGTATGAATTGAAGAAAACGTACTAGTTATATATACCGTTATGTGCACTGGAATTGTCGATACAAAAATCGATTCCGGTCTGCATATATGAAGGCGTTACGGACATGCTGTGATTTAGATATTATGGTTTTCATGTAATATAACCTTTAGTGGACATAGAAAATGATTTCGTTTCAAGTAGCTGCGTGAATATGATCAAGTTCATAACTGAAACAACGCTGCGTGTTTTATCCAGGGGGTTACATGAGGCACTGATCACGAAAAGGGAGAATGTTGGGAGGNGCAGAGGAGGGGTAAAAATGCGTGTTGAGATTCCAGCCTCTTTTTGTAAAGGATTATAATTAAAAAAAACGTCACTTGGGAGTTCTGTCTTTTTGCATTTCTGTTGCAAAGAACTGGCAGTGGAAGTCTATGGTGGTTAATTTACTCAGGAAAGGGTCCCGTTGGGTATTTGCGTTCCCTGTGAACTGTGATCACTGCTACACCACCACCACCACCCCCCCCCCCACCCCGCCAAATAGGACCGCAAGGCAGAAATCCTCGGTGCGCCGAGTCGTATAATTGTGCAATACGCAGCATATAAGACATCACTTGTGTTGAGCAATGTGACCGCAATTAGCATTAGCTGTACTGTGTGGTAACCGCCAGTGAACAGACAGTGAATTTGAATATTAAACAGTTCGCATTTGAAGAGCGCCTGGGTCATGCGTGCATTGACTTACAGCCTTGTACTATAATTAAACTCAAATTAAAACTCGTGGACTGAAACATTATGGCAATGTTGTCAGCATTGTAGCACCCTGCATAACACATAACAGATCTCTATGGCATAGAACTACTACTACTACGAGGAACGAAGCATTGAATACCTCTGGTATCAGGGTGCATTATAGCATATGTTATTTAAATTAATGAATGAATCGGGATTTTTAAATCGTGAATCGGATCAACAATAAAACGCGTCTGAATCTGAAAAATCAGAAGTTCATTAATAATATTAATAATAATGATAATTAATATTAATTAGTAAGATTATAAAAATAGAGAATTAACCTTTAGAACAAACGCTGCTCTTAAAATTGATGTATCACAAGAGTATTGTCGGGTGGGAAGTGGGCATGGGGGTCGCGAGTAAAATGGCAATATTCGCTATCTCTTGTTGTACAATGTATAAGTGTCAGAACATAGTGTGATGTATTGCCGTGTATTTGCCTGTCACGATCCATCCGACTTTGAGCACTGAAGATCGATTATATACTATCGATCGATGAGAAAATACAAATTGTATGAATTGAAGAAAACGTACTAGTTATATATACCGTTATGTGCACTGGAATTGTCGATACAAAAATCGATTCCGGTCTGCATATATGAAGGCGTTACGAACATGCAGTGATTTAGATATAATGGTTTTCATGTAATATAACCTTTAGTGGATATTATTATTATTATTATTATTATTATTATTATTATTATTATTATTATAACTTTTAGGTGTGTGTGTTTGTGTTTGAGTCAATTCGGAGATATAGACTGGTCTCTGTCATTCGTGGCAGTAAAGATAAGAATATTGGATCGCAATTTTCTCAACGGTTTATATATATGTGATTAGGGGAAAATGGTTAAAGTATCCTGCGTGGATATGATCAAGTTCATAACTGAAACAACGCTGCGTGTTTTATCCAAGGGGTTAGATGAGGCACTGATCACGGAAAGGGAGAATGTTGGGGGGGTGGGGGGTGGGGGGGGGGGAGGGGGGGGAGAATTCAAAAGGCGAAGATGGAAGGAGAAACAAAAAATAATTTGAATGCCTGGGTCCAGTTTTTAAACGTTTTGTAAAGGTTGTCATTGTCATGGATTAGTTTGGTGTCCATGTGTATTGCAAACGGACATATGGTCAAGGAAGATTGAGCCTAAAGGTTCATGAATGTTTCGTAGAATAGGCCACGGGTCTCATGGTGCACATGACTACCTGAACATGACTCCACATTAATAAAATCTGTTTTCGAAAACGTCATATATCTCCACCATCATCCCTGGCTTCTCTATCCTCTATCTCCTAAAGCGTTTGTAATTATCTCAAAGTCTTGTAGCTGAATGTTTTCTTTTTTTCTTTTGGTCTGGAAAGACTTCATTTCTGGCGATCATTTAGCTTTGAATAATCTGCTCGTTCTTACAGCTTCTCATTTGAACTCCGCGTCGATTGGATATTTGTTTGCGTTTGACGTCAAACATGTCCTTTAAAGCTTGATTAAGACGTAAAACATACTATGCTCGTCAGCCCTCAATAAAGCAGATAAAAAAAGAAAGAAGAAAATAACAATAATAATCCCAGACGATACTTTAACCATTTTCCCCTTATCACATATATATATAAACCGTTGAGAAAATTGCGATCCAATATTCTTATCTTTACTGCCACGAATGACAGAGACCAGTCTATATCTCCGAATTGACTCGAATACAAATGCACACACCTAAAAGTTATAATAATAATAATAATAATAATAATAATAATAATAATAATAATAATAATAATAATAAATGGATTCATGTCAATCTAGGAACAGGTTTTGATGTGAATATACCTTGCTGATTAAGGCGAAATTTAAAGTGTTGTAATTTCTGGGAAAACTAATTTTGGGCTATCTAAAAGTCTGAGCGGACATTGTTAAACACTGTGTACCATAGGGTAACACGGAAAGAGCGAGGGAGGTAGAGGTGGAGGTTTTAACCATCAACATGACAAATCAAACATCTCACGAAGGACGAAATAAATTGTATGTTCAAAACCAGCCAAAAAAAAAAAAAAAAAACACAGATAGACATTAAGTCAGTTTAAACAAAAATAACAGCTGTTATAATGCACGCAACTGCTCTCGTTGGCGAGTATAAATACATTGCCTGGTATTCCTAGAAGCAAAGTTCACTGAGAATCGGGCATTCGATAGCGTGGGTAGTTATAATATTGATCCCCAAAAGGGCATGGGATTTACCACTCTGTGATTTCAGTAGATTTCATTAAGGGCGCCCATAATTACAATCCCTAGACGCCGTTCAATAACGCAAGCTGTCCAGACGACCAGAATGTTAGAGCTTGGTGGGAAGGGAAGAAGGTTGAAAGATGGA